TTATGTTGCTGGCTTCTTTGTCACTGAACCTCGCATCAAGTGCTGGCTGGTTACCATGGGGGCAGTGTTGAGGGGGCCACACAGCGGGGACAGCGCTGCCCCGGGGCCTCTGGGACCTGACGGGCGTGGATGGAGACGTCCTGGGCAGGATGACACCGAGGAGGAGTTCCTTAGAAGCAACACGGGTCACAGAAACTCGGTTAAGTTTCCTAAGTCTATTGACAAATAATTTTTTTTTTTTTTCAAAAAAAGCTGACCGTAATTATTTAAAGGATTCTTTTAGCAACCTATATTACAATGAGGCATATATAACTTAATTTTTATTTATTTTTTATGATGTTTATTTGAGAAAGAGAGAGAGAGAGACTGTGTGTGTGTGTGTGTGTGTGTGTGTGTGTAAGCAGGGAGGGGCAGAGAGAGGGAGACACAGAACATGAAGCAGCTCCAGGCTCCGAGCTGTCAGCACAGAGCCAACGTGGGGCTCAAACTCATGAACCGTAAGATCATGACCCGAGCTGAAGTCAGGAGCTTGCCCAACTGAGCCACCCCGGCGCCCCCATGTTTAATTTTAAATAGGCTAATTTCCATGTTACATATGCAAGTAACGTCCCCTTTAGGATTTCGTACATTTATTTTAAAAAATTCACTATTCATAGTGAAGAAACTCATGGAAAGAAACTGTAAAAATTCTGTCAAGGTATTGTAAGAAGAAATTCCTACCCTTGAGAGGGAAACGTTACATAAATGATATTTAAATTAGACTTGTTCCTCTTGAAGCATTTTCTGACTGCACTCAAGGGAGCCTGTCACTTGGCCCACGCGCCCACCCTGACACGACCCCGGCCTCGTCTGCTGCAGCCACTCCCAGAAGCCGTGTTCGGGGCAAAGCTGAGGGTGGTCACTCGGGAAGGCCGCAGTCTGGTGCGGACTTCCGGTTACTTCACGTGACCAGGATGGGCACCCTGCACGGAGTCCTCCAGGAGCCCCTACTGGAATTCTGATTCTAGAACCAACCACCGCATGGAGGGAAAGCCGTGACTCCCGCTGCACAGAAACTGGACACTAACCGTGCTGGCAGGATTACTGACATCTCGGACTGTTAGGTGCAACACGCGCTGACTCTCCCCCGTCGGGAGAGAGAGAATCCCAAGCAGGCTCTGCACTGTCAGCACAGAGCCTGACGTGGGGCTTGATCCTACGAATCGTGAGATCATGACCTGAGCTGAGATCAGGAGGCAGATGCTTAACCGACGGAGCCCCCAGGCGCCCCTCCATCCCCACAGTGATGGGCCACTCAGGGAGGAGGGGAGGTAGACTATTCCTGTGGAGCTTCTCTGACGCCTCTTGGAAAAGGGCATGGCCCCTCCGCCTAATGTCCTCATTTCTCCTGTGGAATCCGACCCGCCTATTCTTCAAGGTTTGAGAGAGACTCGGAAGAGGCCCGTGTGGTGCTCGGGGCCTGTCTTCCAGAAACGCTGCCCGTAGCTTCGCTGGGGGCGGGGGCGGGGGGCCGCGGGCACTGGCCTCCCGGCTCCTAACTCAGCGGCACCGCACCTGACGCCGAGCGCCAGGCTGCCTTGGGGCACCCCCGGCAGCATCCGTGCGCGGCCTCGCCTCGGCCGGCTGGACGTGAGCCGGGACTGGCCTGTCCCCGTGTGCACAGCTGGTCGCGTGGCTGCGCGGGGGGGGGGGGGGGGGGGG